CGCCAGAGGTTCGGCCATTTTTAAAACGTGAATGCCACACAAAAGTTTGCGGACTCCCCAAATGTTTGCTTTAGCATTTCATAGGTTTCCTTAGCCGTTTTGGCGAGTCTTTGGCAACATTTGATGCACACGCCATTCCGAAATCGCAGGAGGGTCGGTGTAATGCACTACCAAAACGCCCGTAACTAAGAAACAAATGCTAATTCGATGATGCCGGCTGGCACACTGATTCACTATGAATGTAGGCCGCACCCCCTAAAGGCAGAAGCTCGTACTACATCCGGTTCGCCCGATATTGACACAGTCTGGAAACGTTCCGATCGCACCTCGTAAAACAAATGGTTTTTAAAAACCTGGCAGATTTTTCCTTAACTTCGACTATATAATGTAGACGCAGTTACATGAAGATGCATCACACGTCCTGTGCTTGATGTGCAATATCAACACCTGGTATACATCATTATTCTGTAGGTAAGCGTCCGACAAGACGATTAAAAATTAATATACAATTTTAACAATATTATGTATAATTTTCTCTATAAACATCTGACTTCTATGATAAGAGGTTCGCATTTAAGTTTAAAATTCATCAAAATAAACTAATTACATATAAAAGCTTTAGATCCTCAAAAGGTATTTATTCTAAAGTAACACCACGCCATACGTATGTCTACAAGTAAGCATTTTATATACTTTATTCCAAATGTTTATATGCAGCTACGAACACGCCTGTGCATGAAATTTATTATAAGCACATCCAAGGAGAAAAAAAATTAAAGTATGATTTCTAATTTCAACATTCTGAAAATCGGTTACGACCCAAAATTTGCATTCTCGAAGGATAAATGAATTAAATTACTGAGAATCTTATTTAAACTACGGTACAACGCTATTATATCCAGTCACAACAATTGTGGTAGCGTCAGATAACCTCTATTATTTATGAATTAAACATTTAAATACAACAACCTGTTACATTTTGGATTTTGGGTTCTGTATTCCACAGAATTATCGACAACGGTATAAGAGAGCGGGTCATAAATGACTTCTGATTGGCACTTGAGTGAAATCAGTTCGAATCCAAAACAATAAGCAAATTTTGAGATAATATTAGAATATCTGGGATTATTTCTTCCTCCCAAATCCTTCCAGACGCATATTTAGTTACTAATAACATCATTTCTAGCCCGATGTTACATAATGTCTTCACAGTTAATGTATCATCCCAAAATATGGCGAGACAATCGGTACCCGTCTGTAGGATATGTAGGCCAGACTGTCTAGTGACTTCAGCTTGGAGAATTAAGTCGTCGCAGACGTCTGATTGAACATCGTGTCATAACAAACAACTCCGAGCATAGTTCAGACTGCCAACGCGCTTAATATTACTTCTACTAATTGACCCCGAGAATACACGCTTAATTCTGACCAAGTGTTCCACTCACGTGCTGATAAACTAATCCGCTATCTGTGCTTCCTACAGCCAACACAACTTACCGCCCGCCATGAGCATCTCAGCGAACGTTATCATCTTCACGTGTCTCATCGCGTGCTTCACTTGTGTTCTGGCCTTTGGACAACCAACAGTAAGTAGTTAAGCCTAAGAGACGAAAGCCAAAAATTTTACCGGAAAGTCCAAACTAATAGAGAAAACGCCTGCACGAATAAATTACAGAGAAACGTTAACAAAAATTTAGTAGGAAAACATGAAGACAAGATTTTTAAATACAAGTTCACAGATGGTAAGATTATATTAAAGCAGATATAAAGTGGCTATTGACTGGGCTAACTGATGGGCTCGTGAATACGACAATAAACATCTGATACTATAAAAGGTGGGAAACTTATTGAGTTACTATCATGATCTAAAGATGGTGTTTGCTGTTTTCGGTTAAAAATTTTGTTAATTATTTTCATCGGGAATTATGAATGAAGTTAATAATATGGTCATAGGCCTGTAACATATTTTAGAAATTGGTTGCTTGCTATTTTTCATATCGAATTTGACTTATTCCTCATTTAAGCTCACTGGAGATACTAATATATTGCCATTAAGTTAATAAATAAATAACACCTATATGTCATTATACCGAGACAAAATTAGTTTTTTCTACTTTGTAGTATTGTGTGACGTGTGTTTTATGGTGTGTAAAAACTTCGTGTTGGATGAGACGTTTATCAAAAACCGAATAACGCGTATCATCATCTTCATGTACATACAACGTACATAGACACACGAAACGTCATGCACATACAACACCATGCACAGGAGACGTTTATATCGCATTTCGAACCTCAGCTAACTGATTAACCCTGAGGAACAGAGTCCTTTAAAGCCTTGTATCGACTGCGCGCGGCTGCCTCGCGCACCTGTTCGTGCGCGGCAAACTCGTTCGTTCGCTCATTGTGCTCGTGGTTACCAGCATCGAGCGCGGCAGCCGTGTTCGGCTGTGATCGACGCTGTTCGTCAGTTCTCGCAAGATCATGAATACAGCACAGTGAAATCCCTTTGCCGCGGGACAAAGAACCGCTCAGATTTGGCTCGACGCGCGCCAAGTTCGAGCGCGGCATTGTTCGTTCTGCCACGCGTGGCAACATGGTATCGACTTTGCGAGGCAAAGCAACGAACATTGCCTCGCGAGGCAGCCGCGTGCAGTCGATGCAAGGCTTAAGAGAAACCGAAAGTCGTCCAACTGTCAATAAATTCCCCGAATTTTAAGTAACTCGAAAATTAAAACCAAAACGTTTATTACCACATAAGAATGTTACATCGCCGGTTCACATCCCGAATCAAACTAATTTGGTTCTCTAAGATAAATTTTAACATTCTCCTACTGACTTTTAGTTTTTTCCGAGAGATCTATTCGTTTCAGGTTTTCCAACCATAACCCTTTAAGCATTCCTCATCTTCCCCTGCGAGCTACATGTACCGCCTGTCTAATCCTCTATGATTTGTCGATGCTAATGATGTTTGATAAAACTTATAAATAATGAAACTCCTCATTATGCAATTTTCTTTAACGTCCTGACACTTATTCGTCTCAGGTCCAATTATCCTCCTCAGTACACTGTTTTAATCAGTCCTCCTGCTGTATGAAATTGAGCGATCAGCCACGTACTTTCGTAGCTTCATCTCCATCCAAACAGAGCTCGGTAACCTTCTGCTAGGAAACTGGTGGTCTCGTAACGACGAGAAAGGTCCCTGCCACCGCAGGAATCGAATTCGGTAGTTCGAACCCGTAGCCCCAGAAATTACGTATATACAGGATATGAAAACTATACATTTTGTATACTTTCAGGGTGAACGCGGGCGTCGATCCATAGCTCCATTACCACAGCAGCCGGACCCACAGAGTAAAGGAAATGTGAATGTTGACATTCACCGGGAACGCGGAGTGGGGACAGTGGTGAGCGGGCAAGCGGAACGCAACATTTACCAGAGTCCGAACGGGAACACCCGCGTGGACGTGAACGGCCACTGGTTCCGAGTGTACGACGGTCCAGCGCGCGGACAACGCAACCACGGCGCGGGAATCAGATTTTCCCACCGCTGGTAAAACGTGTCCATTAACGGACGCGTTTAAGCTATGCCGTTTCTGGTCCGCAAAATTCTTACTTCAAGATACACATGTGGAGGGGAAGAGGAATGCAGTACAAAAAGCGGAGAATTGAAGTAGAGAAAAAATTAACAGAACAGTAGTGGAGGAAAACCGAAGCAGGATTGACTAGTCTGTTTACGTTCTGACCACCAGCTGCTGGTGTATCTGAAAGCGACAGTTCCCAGCAGTGCCACCGAATGGCTAGCAATTAAAATGTCATGCTCATTACAAGGCGCTTCGAAAACGTTCACTATGATCTTTAATGACACTACCCTAGTTCCGAGGCAAGAAAGCTGATGTCCGGGCGAATGTCGGCATAATACCTTGAAAATGACATACTTTTTTTTAAAATCCTTTCTTGGTCATCATTTAGAATTGTCCTTATATTCCATCAGACACTATACAATTGACTTTAAACGGGCACCGTTAATCAATGCAAGAGCAGGTTAATGCAGTTGTAGCCTGCTATAATATCCACCGTGTTACAGTCTTCCTTGATTAAAGTCTGTGGTGCGTTCGCCTCTCCAGGCGAATACCGAAGAAGTACTCAGGAAAATCCCGGTCGGGTCAGAACGTAAGCCTATCAGAAGCAGAACGTGATACACAGTCCGCTTAATAAAGTTAAGAAACTGCCAACTATAAACTCCCTTTTATTTGGTAATTGTATTTAAGTGACGAGATTTTTGATCAGTCATTATTACTGACACATAAAGAGATCAAGACAATCTAATGCAGTGTTTCTTGATCTATCTGCTTCTGCGAAAGCCCTTCCACAGAATTATCTTATATATCCTGATTAAACAGAACACAGACTAACCCAAATACAGACAGACACTCTTGTTTTTATAGTGTGTTTTTACTTCAGTGTAAAAGTAAAAATGCGACAAAAGCTTTAAACTCTCAGTAATTCAGCATAGAAAATAAAGAATTAGAATCTATATAAATCATGGACCCCCTAGAAACGGCATTCTAACCTCCTAGCGATATCGTTAATTAAAAAGTACTTATTAATTAGCTAGTAAGAAATAATTGTAATTTCATTTTACTGTAAAGTGTGGTACTATAGAAATTTATTAAGTGACTATTGCCATCACTATAGCGGAGAACATTAAAATTGATATCTATTTTGCTAATTCCGATATACATCGATTAATTGCTTGTCCCATGAGACCTTAACACATCCATCATTCCCGCCTTGATGTGTGTGTCCACTGAATATTTACTGCACAGATAAGCACAGCGAATCGGCTTCCTCCTGTTAACATTTAAGCTAGTTCAATCCAATTCACATTCTCACACTGTGTGCATCTAAGATCCATAATAATATAGTAGCCCACACTTATTTTTAATAAATAACATATCGATTTATAAGTTGAATTCCCGGACATATTTATGTGTTCATTATTTGTCCAAACCACTGCAAACTCGTCGATGTTGGTCTTCTGCGTTGTAATGTCATTCGGACTTGTAGACTGAAGCCATGAAGATGGAGGTAGTATGTTCTACCTACAAGTCCACACGGCATCACAACCAAGATCAACATCAATATCTTCACTGCCTGAAACATCACGCAGCTGTATTGTAGCCAATTTTAAGAACCATGCAATTCCAATTTCCAACCCAGGAACCCCATTTCAAATTTTTCAGCTACCAGTCAGACAGACGAAGATCTTTAGTTACAACCTGCAAATGCAGGCGCATGCCGTAACAGACCAGTTGATAACAAACTTCACGATAAATTTAATCTTAAAGTAAATACCTTAACGGTGTTTCCTGTTTTCCGCGATAAGAGAAATCTATCGCATGATTATAAATGAAACTGAAATTGTTAGGTTTTATACGAATAATAAGTAACAAGAAATGCTAATGAACTCCAAATGAATTCTTGGTACGTTCAATACGTGTCGATATTTTCAGAGACAACTTTGCATACAAAGACAAGCGTCTGGAGGCAGCAGCAGCGATGTAGCATCCCACACACGTCTCTGCCCTTTCTTATAACCTCACTGTGACTTGGAAGGAAATGTGTATAATCAATCGAAACACGTATTCAAAATTCGTGAAGCCCACAACACAAGAGAATGCCAGACACGTGTTTCACTTCATCATATGAAGACCGAATATCAAACAGCGTGGCAAGAGTTGGTGGATTGAATAAGCCTGGGATATTTAAAGACACTGATTAAATGACAGAGACTATACTGGGTCGGATGAAATGGCAAGATGGTCACGAATAGTGATGTTGACGGAAACTGTAAGAGAAATACAATTTAATTATTCGTGTTTTTTCCGTCTAATCACAATTGTATATAAATAAAATTTATACATAAGATATTAAAATATCATTTACATATTTGGTACATATTTATATACAATTGTGATTAGACGGAAAAAACACGAATAATTAAATTTTAATTCACAATATGACACAATTATATCAACTTATGAGAAATACAAGGAAAACGTCGATCAGAACAGCAGATAACAAGGTCGAAATTCGAACTGTGTACCTCCCGGTAACGATATGAGCGTCAGCGCTACTGAACGTCATTCCATACTCAGGAGTATTTGGTTTCGAATCTCATCCCTGAAATCGGCATTGCTGATCAAGGCTTTAGAAGTTTTTTTAGTCACTCCAGATGAATACTGGTATAATGTACTATGCCAAAGTGGACGTGATATATTCCGATAAAGGCCAAAGATTATCTATAGAGGTTGTCTGCAGAAACGCTAACTAAAGTCTATGGGTAATAAACTAAGGTTCTCAAGGCAGAAAAACTTCTGTTTTGATTTCATAGTTTTATAACGCCGTGTTGACTTGCAAGCAGATGCTAACGTTTCGGTGAAACATACTGCCTTTATCTTGAGGGTTGAGACTAAGCTAGCATGTTTCATTGAAATGTTGGCTTCTAGCTAGAAGTCAACACGGTGTTGCAACCCAGAAGAATAACATCGACAATAAAGTGACACAGTAGCAACGCGCTTTGCTGAATGAATGTTTCCGTGACTCGCCATATACTCATTCACCTTGGTTAGGATATTAGAGTAGTTACTGCAATAATTTTACTGTGACTCACAATGTTTATATAGTCAGCATTCATTCATCTAGAAGTTCCATGTCTTATATTCAACTGAAGATAAATACTCACCTAAAACGAGAAACAAACGAGATAAATATTAATGCACCCCACTATTTGAATTTTACAGGAAAGCAAATATTAGCTTTAGTGATTTACTTTCGACATAACTTCCTTGTTAAATCGGCTACACTCTATTCGCTGCCACTGTATTTAATGTGCTGTGGGGTCGTGTTGTTTCAGAGTAATCTTTATTCAGAAGTCTAATTTAACAATTAGATACATCTTGATAAACTCTTTGTAACAGGAATGCGTGTTCTCCATTCAGTTATAATATGTAGGTTAGGAAGCATTTCCTACCCCATGTATATAGAAACTTTTTTTTAATGTTTTGGTTCCCAGAACATGCCTTTAAATTTTCAAAAAATACCTTTGACTCACTCTGTATAGCATCAAATGAGATGATGACAGTGAATAATGAATTGGAAAAGATGTGGAAGGAAGCGGTCGTGGCCTAGTTTAAGGTACTATCCCGGTATTTGCTTGGAGGGACTGAGAATATGTCCGGTGTAGGACCGACTAGTTAACAGAGAATACCTTAAGGATTAACTTTTTCAGAATTAATTTTAAATTTGAACAGGCCATACGATCTAGTCAGCAAAACACAAGGAAAACAATGTACAGCTACGTAATTGAATTACAGGAACATAATTCTACTTTACGAGTACTTATTTAAGACCATAAGCGTAACACAGAGGGAGAAGCAAGTCAATTTACACAGCCACAAATGCAGTCATGGGCTTGTATCGCATCTGTTTCTGTTCTGTAACGTATTCGCCAGCCATCTGCATATATACACTGAACATTAATCTATTAAAGTACAAACGTTTTTAATATTATAGCATGAACCTGTATCGTATCTGTTTCATTAACGCATTCTCCAGCAGTCTGCACACAATTGTATGAATCTATTAAAATACATAACGTTTTAAATATAATATGAATTACATATTTTACAATTTTCTCTAAATGTGAAGGAAGATTTGTGTACTGAATATAAATGGCACACTTACAACGTTCAAATAAATATCAGCACAGGGGCTACTATCATTTCTCGTATAGTTACGAATGATTTGTATATGATAATTAGAAGCCATAAAATATGCCCACAACTCTGAGCGCGAGATGTGGACGTTTTACAACGGTGCAACACGCCAGTCTGGTGTACAGTGTGTGCTGGATTCCTCCGTGTCATTTATGAGTTGTCAGTTTTTGACAGAATATTAATAATTTTGACGTTGCGATCTGCAGCCGGAAGACATTTTATCTTTGTATACATGTGTGTAAACTATAAACAGTTATTTTAATCCTGCAAATAATTTATTGATCTGTCAATAAATAGCATTGATATACAGAGACGAAATTCCTGTTCCTGGGATGTAAAATGTTAAATTCCATAAAAATTCAATTACAACGAAAATAACTCGACATGTAGCCTGAGATCTATAGATCATTTAACAACGCTATTTCAGCAGCAAAGTTCGAATCCAGTAGGAAGATGATTACGAAATTTGGTTATAAGTATTTAGAAAGAGGTGGTCTATGTCTCGTTGAAAGATACTAATCAGAACATATCCTCTTTCTGCACGCACTTCTGATATCTTACACTTCAATCGTGTGTCACAGCATGTAAAAGAGCTGCAGGAAATGAACTGGACTGCAGATGAAACGTATGTTCAGTTTCTGTTACCGGATTTAAAGCGTGACGCCAAGTCTTCGTCTTTATATCTCTGACGTCACTGTCAACCTAGCTGGCAGGTCAGCGTCCAAGGAAGGAAGGAAGGATGTGTTGTAGATTACAACCCACTGGGGAGAAAGAGGAAACTAAATAATCATCTTAATCTTTTGATATACGATCATGGGTTTCACAGTGAATCCGATGTGTAGGTGTTTAAATCTGTTTCTACAGAGCTCAACACAAAATAAAAGGTTATGTTCCGTATAAAACACACTCTAAAGCTAGAAGTGCTTGCCGGAATGGTTTGAATCGGATGTGAAAAAAATTAATTCCTCATTCTAAAACACACTCTGCTCTTCAGGATGCATAGCTGTAGAGTAGCAAAGTCTGTTGTGTGATAAGATTTAAACCAATCAATGACAGTTATCTGTACATGTAATATGCACTTCCTCTATGACCTTTACAACTTTCATAAAGGTTAATGTGAAAACAAAGAGCTTCTGGTGTTTTTCCTCATTTTAATTATGTTCTATTGAATATTATGGAAGACCAATTGGCCCTGAGCAAATTTTCCAATCTAGATACTTTGGTGACATGGTGATTAATTTTTCAAGGAAGATAATGAGAATGGTGCACATCTGCATGACTGCCAAGTTTCAAGAGCGCACTGCTGATGTTTAACACTGCAATGCATCAAAACCTAGTTTTAGCGGAAGATGTCGAAACATGGCAACCTAACCTTACTTCGCCTCACTCGATTTAAAGACCGCTTTGTTTCAGCCGTAATGCAAATGAGCAGCTTCCTTAAGTAATGGACTACTTACGAAACTAACTAGTAAACTATCGAAGTAACTGACTATGTACATAGAAACGTAATTAGTTAGTTAACCACTCAAGTAATTAAGAGAATATCTACCTAGCTAAATGCCTGATTAACTGAATAATTTAATGCTGGTAACAAAGTCCTACTATTCTAATTTCCCATTTACTTGACAATTAGAGGTCTACAAACACGGTGACAAAGCCGATTCAGGAAATACGCGTGTAGTGTCCTTGCAAATAACGGCTAGCAATAGTCTGACAATGAAAATGTGTTTACATTAACATGTAGCGATTCATTACTTTTGAAAAAAATGCGTAAAACTAACAAATATGTGGTAGAAAAACGTGCATTACAGCGTATGCCTGCAATAAGTGCACGGAATAACAAGGAAACTCATTTTATATAGATACAACTACAGCGCACAATTTGTACAATGCACTTTTTGCTCAAAAATTTGTCTTTGCGTCTCATTCTCAAGCAATGTATTACACTGTCG